AGGGCTGCCGCGTGTGTCAGCAATGCGGGCTGAAACCGGCACGATACCAGGTACCCCTGAGACCGTTCCGCATCAGACGGACGAACCAGCTGGTTGGGATCGACCTGCAGGGGCCATTCCCGCGATCCCACCGGGGCAACCGATATATCCTCGTAGCGGTGGAGTACTTCACACGCTATCCCGTCGCGGTGGCCATCCCCGATAAGACGGCCCTCGTGGTGGCCCGGGCATTCGTGGAGCACTACGTACTCAAGCACGGGATCCCCGAACGAGTCATTACCGACCGAGGTAGTGAGTTCGAGGCAGAGCTGTTTCAGGCGCTGTGCCCTACGACCGACTCCGAATCCCCGCCCCGCAGCCCTTTAAACAATCTCCGTTGCCCGCCCTCGGTGGCAACGCGTCTGCGAAGGACGCCATTGCCCTCTGACCCCTGACTCCCGGTTCAGCGGGTGCGAGTGGTGCGCGGGGTTGTGCGAACGGAAACGTCGCGTTTGAGTGGCTGAGAAGCGACGGATTGGTTCCAGGCAGCCGTGCGCCAGCCCCGAGCTATGCCCCCAAACAGGACCCGCGGACCCGGGGGGCTGCGCCGCGAGGAGGGGAGCCAGGGAGCCGCAGCCTTCTCCCCACGAGCGAGGAGTTGAATAGCGGCGGCTCTCACACGAGCGAGGAGTCCAGAGCCCGCAGCCCTCCCGAGATCAGCCCTCCCCTGGAGGGGGGATCGGGGACCCGCGTCCCCCACAATGCCGTGAACCCGCGCGCTCCGTTCTCAATCCCCATGGAACCCCCAGCGTGGATCTCTCTGTGCTTCCCCAGGCGCCCTTCGGCTTCTCTCCCCGTCTATTTTCCGTGGCACCCGTCTGGGTTCACCGCCAACCCGCGCTGACCAGCGTGGTGAAGTATGGTCAAAAGAACACCTCCGCGGCCACCACGGCGCGGGGGTGGAGCCCTCAAACACAATCGCCCAAGGTCACTGTCGTGCCGTCCCATTGATTCAAATCTCCACTCAGCTCCTGTGATTCGCGCACGATGCAATTCTCACATCCGTGAGACGAACCACCAATGATGGAAACATCGCGATCGCCTGTCGGAGCCCCGAGGGTCGGACTGAGCCTCTGACTTCGCGAGCGAATTCACCCGATGCCGCTACTGCCCTCTGTTGGCAATACCGAGGTAGGCCCGGAGCTACCGCTCCGATGTCTCAATGCAGTAGCGTCATTTAACGGTCAGGTGCTTCATCCAGCAGTGGAGTGATCATGGCTGATGATGATGAGAGCCAGGTACCACATCCAGCAGTGGAGTGATCATGGCTGATGATGATGAGAGCCAGATGCCTCATCCAGCAGTGGAGTGATCCTGGCTGATTATAATCGTGGTGGTTGTGGTGATGGTAGTTTGATACTTTTGGGCATGTGTTTTAACTTCCGTGATGTAAGACATCCCAGAATAATTTACTTCTCACTCGGCTATCCACCACCATCATCATTCTCATCATGCATGCTCACTCTGCTGCTGGCTGATGAGGGCTCCTTCCTGGTGGTGAATGCAAGCAACTGATTGGAACTTGAGGTTTTGGCTCCAGATTCTCGGACGTTCCCGTGTCACGCCACCAGAGGCCGCTATAATCTAGGGTAGGTGAATACACCACAAGCATTACCCTACGTACCACGCTTTTTGTCCCTGGGTTGTAAGTGTTATTTTCTAATTGCTTATGCCTCAAAAGTATGTAAAATGGCTATTATTCCCCACAAACTTTGCTTTTGTGACCAGGACTTTACGTGAAGGAATGACACAAATGCACACCACGTGTTCTCATTGAAAATAGGTACACTTCAAAATATCAATGTCCTGAACACAAAAGCAAAGTTTGTGGGGAGTAATATCCACTTCCTGTACTTTTGAGGCATAAGCAATTAGGAAATAATACGTAATACCTAGGAACAAAAAGAAAACATGTTTTTGTTACACAATGTTATCAGTTTTATTACAAGTTTCAAATCAGTGGTACAACCTCTCTAGAGCAGCCGTGCAACTCTTTGGTTCTCAATCGTAAAACAATAAAAAATTTAGAATGTTAATAAATACAGCGTGTTTGCTGAAACAAAGGAAGTCGTACTTGCTTGTCCGTGCTTAATTTGTGTTTTAGATTATACACCTGTTTAGATTATACACCTGTTTAGATTATACACCTGTTTAGAATATACACCTGTTAAGATTATACACCTATTTAGAATATACACCTGTTTAGATTATACACCTGTTTAGATGATACACCTGTTTAGCTTATACAACTGTTTAGATTATACACCTGTTTAGATTATACACGTGTTTAGATTATACACCTGTTTAACACGATTATACACCTGTTTAGATTATACACCTGTTTAGATTATACACCTGTTTAGATTATACAGCTGTTTAGATTATACACCTGTTTAGATTATACAACTGTTTTGAATATACACCTGTTTAGATGATACACCTGTTTAGATTATACACCTGTTTAGATTATACACCTGTTTAGAATATACACCTGTTAAGAATATACACCTGTTTAGATTATACACCTGTTTAGATTATACACCTGTTTAACACGATTATACACCTGTTTAGATTATACACCTGTTTAGATGATACACCTGTATAGATTATACACCTGTTTAGATTATACACCTGTTTAGATGATACACCTGTTTAGATTATACACCTGTTTAACACGATTATACACCTGTTTAGATTATACACCTGTTTATATTATACACCTGTTTAGATTACACACCTGTTTATATTATACACCTGTTTAGATTATACACCTGTTTAGATTACACACCTGTTTAGATTATACACCTGTTTATATTATACACCTGTTTAGATCATACACCTGTTTAGATTAAATACCTGTTGGGATTATAAACCTGTTTAGATTATACACCTGTTTAGATTATACACGTGTTTAGATGATACACCTGTTTAGATTACACACCTGTTTAGATTATACACCTAAATATCATGATTATACACCTGTTTAGATTATACACCTGTTTAAATGATACACCTGTTTAGATTACACACTTGTTTAGATTATACACCTGTTTAACACAGTTATACACCTGTTTAGATTATACACCTGTTTAGATTACACACCTGTTTAGATTATACACCTGTTTAGATTATACAGCTGTTTAGATTATACACCTTTTTAACACGATTATACACCTGTTCAGATTATACACCTGTTTAGATGATACACCTGTTTAGATGATAGACCTGTTTAGATTACACACCTGTTTAGATTATACACCTGTTAGACACAATTATACACCTGTTTAGATTATACACCTGTTTAAATGATACACCTGTTTAGATTACACACCTGTTAGATTATACACCTGTTTAACACGATTATACACCTGTTTAACACGATTATACACCTGTTTAACACGATTATACACCTGTTTAACACGGTTATACACCTGTTTAGATTATACACCTGTTTAGATTATACACTTGTTTAGATTACACACCTGTTTAGATTATACACCTGTTTAGATTATACAGCTGTTTAGATTATACAGCTGTTTAAATTATACACCTGTTCAGATTATACACCTGTTTCGATGATACATCTGTTTAGATGATACACCTGTTTAGATTATACACCTGTTTAGATGACACACCTGTTTAGATTATACACCTGTTTAGATGATACACCTGTTTAGATTATACACCTGTTCAGATTATACACCTGTTTCGATGATACATCTGTTTAGATGATACACCTGTTTAGATTATACACCTGTTTATATGAGACACCTGTTTAGATTATACACCTGTTTAGATGATACACCTGTTTAGATTATACTCCTGTTTAGATTATACACCTGTTTAGATGATACACCTGTTTAGATTACACACCTGTTTAGATGATACACCTGTTTAGCACGATTATACACCTGTTTAGATGATACACCTGTTTAGATTATACACCTGTTTAACACGATTATACACCTGTTTAGATTATACACCTGTTTAAATGATACACCTGTTTAGATTACACACCTGTTTAGATTATACACCTGTTTAACACGATTATACACCTGTTTAGATTATACACCTGTTTAGATTATGCACCTGTTTAGATTATACACCTATTTAGATGATACACCTGTTTAGATTATACACCTGTTTAGATTATACACCTGTTTAGATTATACACCTGTTTAGATGATACACCTGTTTAGGTTACACAGCTGTTTAGATTATACACCTGTTTAACACGATTATACACCTGTTTAGATTATACACCTGTTTAGATTATACACCTGTTTAGATGATACACCTGTTTAGATTATACACCTGTTTAGATTATACACCTGTTTAGATTAAACACCTGTTTAGATTATACACCTGTTTAACACGATTATACACCTGTTTAGATTATACACCTGTTTAGATTATACACCTGTTTAGATTATACACCTGTTTAGATTATACACCTGTTTAGCACGATTATACACCTGTTTAGATGATACACCTGTTTAGATTATACACCTGTTTAGATGATACACCTGTTTAGATGATACACCTGTTTAGATTATACACCTGTTTAGATTACACACCTGTTTAGATTATACACCTGTTTAACATGATTATACACCTGTTTAGACTATACACCTGTTTAGATGATACACCTGTTTAGATTACACAGCTGTTTAGATTATACACCTGTTTAACACGATTATACACCTGTTTAGATTATACACCTGTTTAGATTATACACCTGTACACCTGTTTAGATTAAACACCTGTTTAGATTATACACCTGTTTAACACAATTACACACCTGTTTTAACACGCAGGAGGCCTTATTACACAATATCATCCCTAATGCGGGTGTTGTGGGTTAGATCGCGTTAAAATATATAAATGTGTCGCTAAGCCCGCCACCACCCGACACCGCCAGCTAGTAAGGGTTGTCACGTCAACAGAGCGTACCAATTCGTCACTAGTACAGCACACACCGGTACCAGTTTTACGACGTGCTTATATTTACGCGATTTAACCCAAAACACCTGCATCACGGATTATTTACCTTCTAAAAGCACCTGGGCAGTGTCTCGCACCCCCAGAAAGGGCATCTCGCTCCCCAGGGGGTGCGTGCACGCCAGGTTAAGCACCACCGTTCTACATCGTCTGCACTGCTCATCCAGCAGTGGAGTGATCATGGCTGATGATGATGAGAGCCAGATGCCTCATCCAGCAGTGGAGTGATCATGGCTGATTATAATCGTGGTGGTTGAGGTGATGGTAGTTTGATACTTTTGGGCATATGTTTTAACTTCCGTGATGTAAGACATCCCAGAATAATTTACTTCTCACTTGGCTATCCACCACCATCATCATTGTCATCATGCATGCTCACTCTGCTGCTGGCTGATGAGGGCTCCCTCCTGGTGGTGAATGCAGGCAACTGATTGGGACTTGAGGTTTTGGCTCCAGATTCTCGGACGATCCCGTGTCTCGCCACCAGAGGCCGCTATAATCTAGGGTAGGTGAATACACCACAAGCATTACCCTACGTACCACGCTTTTTGTCCCTGGGTAGTAAGTGTTATTTTCTAATTGCTTATGCCTCAAAAGTACAGCAAAGTGCTATTTTTCCCCACGAACTTTGCTTTTGTGGCCAGGACTTTACGTGAAGGAATGACACAAATGCACACCACGTGTTCTCATTGAAAATAAGTATACTTCAAAATATCAATGTCCTGATCACAAAAGCAAAGTTTGTGGGGAGTAATATCCACTTCCTGTACTTTTGAGGCATAAGCAATTAGGAAATAACACGTATTACCTAGGAACAAAAAGAAAACATGTTTTTGTTACACAATGTTATCAGTTTTATTACAAGTTTCACATCAGTGGTACAACCTGTACAGCAGCCGTGCAACTCTTTGGTTCTCAATAGTAAAACAATAAAAATGTATAATGTTAATAAATACAGCGTGTTTTATGAAACAAAGGAAGTCGTACTTGCGTGTCCGTACTTAATTTGTGTTTTATATTATACACCTGTTTAGATTATACACCTGTTTAGATTATACACCTGTTTAGATTATACACCTGTTTAGATTATACACCTGTTTAACACGATTATACACCTGTTTAGATTATACACCTGTTTATATTATACACCTGTTTAGATTACACACCTGTTTATATTATACACCTGTTTAGATTATACACCTGTTTAGATTACACACCTGTTTAGATTATACACCTGTTTATATTATACACCTGTTTAGATCATACACCTGTTTAGATTAAATACCTGTTGGGATTATAAACCTGTTTAGATTATACACCTGTTTAGATTATACACGTGTTTAGATGATACACCTGTTTAGATGATACACCTGTTTAGATGATAGACCTGTTTAGATTACACACCTGTTTAGATTATACACCTGTTAGACACAATTATACACCTGTTTAGATTATACACCTGTTTAAATGATACACCTGTTTAGATTACACACCTGTTAGATTATACACCTGTTTAACACGATTATACACCTGTTTAACACGATTATACACCTGTTTAGATTATACACCTGTTTAACACGGTTATACACCTGTTTAGATTATACACCTGTTTAGATTATACACCTGTTTAGATTACACACCTGTTTAGATTATACACCTGTTTAGATTATACAGCTGTTTAGATTATACAGCTGTTTAAATTATACACCTGTTCAGATTATACACCTGTTTCGATGATACATCTGTTTAGATGATACACCTGTTTAGATTATACACCTGTTTAGATGACACACCTGTTTAGATTATACACCTGTTTAGATGATACACCTGTTTAGATTATACACCTGTTCAGATTATACACCTGTTTCGATGATACATCTGTTTAGATGATACATCTGTTTAGATTATACACCTGTTTAGATGATACACCTGTTTAACACGATTATACACCTGTTTAGATGATACACCTGTTTAGATTATACACCTGTTTAACACGATTATACACCTGTTTAGATTATACACCTGTTTAAATGATACACCTGTTTAGATTACACACCTGTTTAGATTATACACCTGTTTAACACGATTATACACCTGTTTAGATGATACACCTGTTTAGATTATACACCTGTTTAGATGACACACCTGTTTAGATTATACACCTGTTTAGATGATACACCTGTTTAGATTATACACCTGTTCAGATTATACACCTGTTTCGATGATACATCTGTTTAGATGATACATCTGTTTAGATTATACACCTGTTTAGATGAGACACCTGTTTAGATTATACACCTGTTTAGATGATACACCTGTTTAGATTATACACCTGTTTAGATTATACACCTGTTTAGATGATACACCTGTTTAGATTACACACCTGTTTAGATGATACACCTGTTTAACACGATTATACACCTGTTTAGATGATACACCTGTTTAGATTATACACCTGTTTAACACGATTATACACCTGTTTAGATTATACACCTGTTTAAATGATACACCTGTTTAGATTACACACCTGTTTAGATTATACACCTGTTTAACACGATTATACACCTGTTTAGATTATACACCTGTTTAGATTATGCACCTGTTTAGATTATACACCTATTTAGATGATACACCTGTTTAGATTATACACCTGTTTAGATTATACAACTGTTTAGATTATACACCTGTTTAGATGATACACCTGTTTAGGTTACACAGCTGTTTAGATTATACACCTGTTTAACATGATTATACACCTGTTTAGATTATACACCTGTTTAGATTATACACCTGTTTAGATGATACACGGGTTTAGGTGATACACCTGTTTAGATTATACACCTGTTTAGATTATACACCTGTTTAGATGATACACCTGTTTAGATTATACACCTGTTTAGATTATACACCTGTTTAGATTATACACCTGTTTAGAATAAACACCTGCTTAGATAATACACCTGTTTAACACGATTATACACCTGTTTAGATTATACACCTGTTTAGATTATACACCTGTTTAGATGATACACCTGTTTAGATTACACACCTGTTTAGATGATACACCTGTTTAAAACGATTATACACCTGTTTAGATGATACACCTGTTTAGATTATACACCTGTTTAACACGATTATACACCTGTTTAGATTATACACCTGTTTAAATGATACACCTGTTTAGATTACACACCTGTTTAGATTACACACCTGTTTAGATTATACACCTGTTTAACACGATTATACACCTGTTTAGATTATACACCTGTTTAGATTATGCACCTGTTTAGATTATACACCTATTTAGATGATACACCTGTTTAGATTATACACCTGTTTAGATTATACACCTGTTTAGATTATACACCTGTTTAGATGATACACCTGTTTAGGTTACACAGCTGTTTAGATTATACACCTGTTTAACACGATTATACACCTGTTTAGATTATACACCTGTTTAGATTATACACCTGTTTAGATGATACACCGGTTTAGATGATACACCTGTTTAGATTATACACCTGTTTAGATTATACACCTGTTTAGATGATACACCTGTTTAGATTATACACCTGTTTAGATTATACACCTGTTTAGATTATACACCTGTTTAGAATAAACACCTGTTTAGATTATACACCTGTTTAACACGATTATACACCTGTTTAGATTATACACCTGTTTAGATTATACACCTGTTTATATTATACACCTGTTTAGATTATACACCTGTTTATATTATACACCTGTTTAGATGATACACCTGTTTAGATAATACACCTGTTTAGATGATACACCTGTTTAGATGATACACCTGTTTAGGTTACACAGCTGTTTAGATTATACACCTGTTTAACACGATTTTACGCCTGTTTAGATTATACACCTGTTTAGATTATACACCTGTTTAGATGATACACCGGGTTAGGTGATACACCTGTTTAGATTATACACCTGTTTAGATTATACACCTGTTTAGATGATACACCTGTTTAGATTATACACCTGTTTAGATTATACACCTGTTTAGATTATACACCTGTTTAGAATAAACACCTGCTTAGATTATACACCTGTTTAACACGATTATACACCTGTTTAGATTATACACCTGTTTAGATTATACACCTGTTTAGATTATACACCTGTTTAGATGATACACCTGTTTAGATTACACACCTGTTTAGATGATACACCTGTTTAACACGATTATACACCTGTTTAGATGATACACCTGTTTAGATTATACACCTGTTTAACACGATTATACACATGTTTAGATTATACACCTGTTTAAATGATACACCTGTTTAGATTACACACCTGTTTAGATTATACACCTGTTTAACACGATTATACACCTGTTTAGATTATACACCTGTTTAGATTATGCACCTGTTTAGATTATACACCTATTTAGATGATACACCTGTTTAGATTATACACCTGTTTAGATTATACACCTGTTTAGATTATACACCTATTTAGATGATACACCTGTTTAGGTTACACAGCTGTTTAGATTATACACCTGTTTAACACGATTATACACCTGTTTAGATTATACACCTGTTTAGATGATACACCGGTTTAGATGATACACCTGTTTAGATTATACACCTGTTTAGATTATACACCTGTTTAGATGATACACCTGTTTAGATTATACACCTGTTTAGATTATACACCTGTTTAGATTAAACACCTGTTTAGATTATACACCTGTTTAACACGATTATACACCTGTTTAGATTATACACCTGTTTATATTATACACCTGTTTAGATTATACACCTGTTTAGCACGATTATACACCTGTTTAGATGATACACCTGTTTAGATTATACACCTGTTTAGATGATACACCTGTTTAGATGATACACCTGTTTAGATTATACACCTGTTTAGATTACACACCTGTTTAGATTATACACCTGTTTAACATGATTATACACCTGTTTAGACTATACACCTGTTTAGATGATACACCTGTTTAGATTACACAGCTGTTTAGATTATACACCTGTTTAACACGATTATACACCTGTTTAGATTATACACCTGTTTAGATTATACACCTGTACACCTGTTTAGATTAAACACCTGTTTAGATTATACACCTGTTTAACACGATTACACACCTGTTTTAACACGCAGGAGGCCTTATTACACAATATCATCCCTAATGCGGGTGTTGTGGGTTAGATCGCGTTAAAATATATAAATGTGTCGCTAAACCCGCCACCACCCGACACCGCCAGCTAGTAAGGGTTGTCACGTCAACAGAGCGTGCCAATTCGTCACTAGTACAGCACACACCGGTACCAGTTTTACGACGTGCTTATATTTACGCGATTTAACCCAAAACACCTGCATCACGGATTATTTACCTTCTAAAAGCACCTGGGCAGTGTCTCGCACCCCCAGAAAGGGCATCTCGCTCCCCAAGGGGTGCGTGCACGCCAGGTTAAGCACCACCGTTCTACATCGTCTGCACTGCTCATCCAGCAGTGGAGTGATCATGGCTGATGATGATGAGAGCCAGATGCCTCATCCAGCAGTGGAGTGATCATGGCTGATTATAATCGTGGTGGTTGAGGTGATGGTAGTTTGATACTTTTGGGCATATGTTTTAACTTCCGTGATGTAAGACATCCCAGAATAATTTACTTCTCACTTGGCTATCCACCACCATCATCATTGTCATCATGCATGCTCACTCTGCTGCTGGCTGATGAGGGCTCCCTCCTGGTGGTGAATGCAGGCAACTGATTGGGACTTGAGGTTTTGGCTCCAGATTCTCAGACGATCCCGTGTCTCGCCACCAGAGGCCGCTATAATCTAGGGTAGGTGAATACACCACAAGCATTACCCTACGTACCACGCTTTTTGTCCCTGGGTAGTAAGTGTTATTTTCTAATTGCTTATGCCTCAAAAGTACAGCAAATTGCTATTTTTCCCCACGAACTTTGCTTTTGTGGCCAGGACTTTACGTGAAGGAATGACACAAATGCACACCACGTGTTCTCATTGAAAATAAGCATACTTCAAAATATCAATGTCCTGATCACAAAAGCAAAGTTTGTGGGGAGTAATATCCACTTCCTGTACTTTTGAGGCATAAGCAATTAGGAAATAACACGTATTACCTAGGAACAAAAAGAAAACATGTTTTTGTTACACAATGTTATCAGTTTTATTACAAGTTTCACATCAGTGGTACAACCTCTACAGCAGCCGTGCAACTCTTTGGTTCTCAATAGTAAAACAATAAAAATGTATAATGTTAATAAATACAGCGTGTTTTATGAAACAAAGGAAGTCGTACTTGCGTGTCCGTACTTAATTTGTGTTTTAGATTATACACCTGTTTAGATTATACACCTGTTTAGATTATACACCTGTTTAGATTATACACCTGTTTAACACGATTATACACCTGTTTAGATTATACACCTGTTTATATTATACACCTGTTTAGATTATACACCTGTTTAGCACGATTATACACCTGTTTAGATGATACACCTGTTTAGATTATACACCTGTTTAGATGATACACCTGTTTAGATGATACACCTGTTTAGGTTACACAGCTGTTTAGATTATACACATGTTTAACACGATTATACGCCTGTTTAGATTATACACCTGTTTAGATTATACACCTGTTTAGATGATACACCGGTTTAGGTGATACACCTGTTTAGATTATACACCTGTTTAGATTATACACCTGTTTAGATGATACACCTGTTTAGATTATACACCTGTTTAGATTATACACCTGTTTAGATTATACACCTGTTTAGAATAAACACCTGCTTAGATTATACACCTGTTTAACACGATTATACACCTGTTTAGATTATACACCTGTTTAACACGATTATACACCTGTTTAGATGATACACCTGTTTAGATTATACACCTGTTTAACACGATTATACACCTGTTTAGATTATACACCTGTTTAAATGATACACCTGTTTAGATTACACACCTGTTTAGATTATACACCTGTTTAACACGATTATACACCTGTTTAGATTATACACCTGTTTAGATTATGCACCTGTTTAGATTATACACCTATTTAGATGATACACCTGTTTAGATTATACACCTGTTTAGATTATACACCTGTTTAGATTATACACCTGTTTAGATGATACACCTGTTTAGGTTACACAGCTGTTTAGATTATACACCTGTTTAACACGATTATACACCTGTTTAGATTATACACCTGTTTAGATTATACACCTGTTTAGATGATACACCGGTTTAGATGATACACCTGTTTAGATTATACACCTGTTTAGATTATACACCTGTTTAGATGATACACCTGTTTAGATTATACACCTGTTTAGATTATACACCTGTTTAGATTAAACACCTGTTTAGATTATACACCTGTTTAACACGATTATACACCTGTTTAGATTATACACCTGTTTAGATTATACACCTGTTTAGATTATACACCTGTTTAGATTATACACCTGTTTAGCACGATTATACACCTGTTTAGATGATACACCTGTTTAGATTATACACCTGTTTAGATGATACACCTGTTTAGATGATACACCTGTTTAGATTATACACCTGTTTAGATTACACACCTGTTTAGATTATACACCTGTTTAACATGATTATACACCTGTTTAGACTATACACCTGTTTAGATGATACACCTGTTTAGATTACACAGCTGTTTAGATTATACACCTGTTTAACACGATTATACACCTGTTTAGATTATACACCTGTTTAGATTATACACCTGTACACCTGTTTAGATTAAACACCTGTTTAGATTATACACCTGTTTAACACGATTACACACCTGTTTTAACACGCAGGAGGCCTTATTACACAATATCATCCCTAATGCGGGTGTTGTGGGTTAGATCGCGTTAAAATATATAAATGTGTCGCTAAACCCGCCACCACCCGACACCGCCAGCTAGTAAGGGTTGTCACGTCAACAGAGCGTGCCAATTCGTCACTAGTACAGCACACACCGGTACCAGTTTTACGACGTGCTTATATTTACGCGATTTAACCCAAAACACCTGCATCACGGATTATTTACCTTCTAAAAGCACCTGGGCAGTGTCTCGCACCCCCAGAAAGGGCATCTCGCTCCCCAGGGGGTGCGTGCACGCCAGGTTAAGCACCACCGTTCTACATCGTCTGCACTGCTCATCCAGCAGTGGAGTGATCATGGCTGATGATGATGAGAGCCAGATGCCTCATCCAGCAGTGGAGTGATCATGGCTGATTATAATCGTGGTGGTTGAGGTGATGGTAGTTTGATACTTTTGGGCATATGTTTTAACTTCCGTGATGTAAGACATCCCAGAATAATTTACTTCTCACTTGGCTATCCACCACCATCATCATTGTCATCATGCATGCTCACTCTGCTGCTGGCTGATGAGGGCTCCCTCCTGGTGGTGAATGCAGGCAACTGATTGGGACTTGAGGTTTTGGCTCCAGATTCTCGGACGATCCCGTGTCTCGCCACCAGAGGCCGCTATAATCTAGGGTAGGTGAATACACCACAAGCATTACCCTACGTACCACGCTTTTTGTCCCTGGGTAGTAAGTGTTATTTTCTAATTGCTTATGCCTCAAAAGTACAGCAAATTGCTATTTTTCCCCACGAACTTTGCTTTTGTGGCCAGGACTTTACGTGAAGGAATGACACAAATGCACACCACGTGTTCTCATTGAAAATAAGCATACTTCAAAATATCAATGTCCTGATCACAAAAGCAAAGTTTGTGGGGAGTAATATCCACTTCCTGTACTTTTGAGGCATAAGCAATTAGGAAATAACACGTATTACCTAGGAACAAAAAGAAAACATGTTTTTGTTACACAATGTTATCAGTTTTATTACAAGTTTCACATCAGTGGTACAACCTCTACAGCAGCCGTGCAACTCTTTGGTTCTCAATAGTAAAACAATAAAAATGTATAATGTTAATAAATACAGCGTGTTTTATGAAACAAAGGAAGTCGTACTTGCGTGTCCGTACTTAATTTGTGTTTTAGATTATACACCTGTTTAGATTATACACCTGTTTAGATTATACACCTGTTTAGATTATACACCTGTTTAACACGATTATACACCTGTTTAGATTATACACCTGTTTATATTATACACCTGTTTAGATTATACACCTGTTTAGCACGATTATACACCTGTTTAGATGATACACCTGTTTAGATTATACACCTGTTTAGATGATACACCTGTTTAGATGATACACCTGTTTAGGTTACACAGCTGTTTAGATTATACACATGTTTAACACGATTATACGCCTGTTTAGATTATACACCTGTTTAGATTATACACCTGTTTAGATTATACACCTGTTTAGATTATACACCTGTTTAGATGATACACCGGTTTAGATGATACACCTGTTTAGATTATACACCTGTTTAGATGATACACCTGTTTAGATTATACACCTGTTTAGATTATACACCTGTTTAGATTATACACCTGTTTAGATTAAACACCTGTTTAGATTATACACCTGTTTAACACGATTATACACCTGTTTAGATTATACACCTGTTTAGATTATACACCTGTTTATATTATACACCTGTTTAGATTATACACCTGTTTAGCACGATTATACACCTGTTTAGATGATACACCTGTTTAGATTATACACCTGTTTAGATGATACACCTGTTTAGATGATACACCTGTTTAGATTATACACCTGTTTAGATTACACACCTGTTTAGATTATACACCTGTTTAACATGATTATACACCTGTTTAGACTATACACCTGTTTAGATGATACACCTGTTTAGATTACACAGCTGTTTAGATTATACACCTGTTTAACACGATTATACACCTGTTTAGATTATATACCTGTTTAGATTATACACCTGTACACCTGTTTAGATTAAACACCTGTTTAGATTATACACCTGTTTAACACGATTACACACCTGTTTTAACACGCAGGAGGCCTTATTACACAATATCATCCCTAATGCGGGTGTTGTGGGTTAGATCGCGTTAAAATATATAAATGTGTCGCTAAACCCGCCACCACCCGACACCGCCAGCTAGTAAGGGTTGTCACGTCAACAGAGCGTGCCAATTCGTCACTAGTACAGCACACACCGGTACCAGTTTTACGACGTGCTTATATTTACGCGATTTAACCCAAAACACCTGCATCACGGATTATTTACCTTCTAAAAGCACCTGGGCAGTGTCTCGCACCCCCAGAAAGGGCATCTCGCTCCCCAGGGGGTGCGTGCACGCCAGGTTAAGCACCACCGTTCTACATCGTCTGCACTGCTCATCCAGCAGTGGAGTGATCATGGCTGATGATGATGAGAGCCAGATGCCTCATCCAGCAGTGGAGTGATCATGGCTGATTATAATCGTGGTGGTTGAGGTGATGGTAGTTTGATACTTTTGGGCATATGTTTTAACTTCCGTGATGTAAGACATCCCAGAATAATTTACTTCTCACTTGGCTATCCACCACCATCATCATTGTCATCATGCATGCTCACTCTGCTGCTGGCTGATGAGGGCTCCCTCCTGGTGGTGAATGCAGGCAACTGATTGGGACTTGAGGTTTTGGCTCCAGATTCTCGGACGATCCCGTGTCTCGCCACCAGAGGCCGCTATAATCTAGGGTAGGTGAATACACCACAAGCATTACCCTACGTACCACGCTTTTTGTCCCTGGGTAGTAAGTGTTATTTTCTAATTGCTTATGCCTCAAAAGTACAGCAAATTGCTATTTTTCCCCACGAACTTTGCTTTTGTGGCCAGGACTTTACGTGAAGGAATGACACAAATGCACACCACGTGTTCTCATTGAAAATAAGTATACTTCAAAATATCAATGTCCTGATCACAAAAGCAAAGTTTGTGGGGAGTAATATCCACTTCCTGTACTTTTGAGGCATAAGCAATTAGGAAATAACACGTATTACCTAGGAACAAAAAGAAAACATGTTTTTGTTACACAATGTTATCAGTTTTATTACAAGTTTCACATCAGTGGTACAACCTCTACAGCAGCCGTGCAACTCTTTGGTTCTCAATAGTAAAACAATAAAAATGTATAATGTTAATAAATACAGCGTGTTTTATGAAACAAAGGAAGTCGTACTTGCGTGTCCGTACTTAATTTGTGTTTTAGATTATACACCTGTTTAGATTATACACCTGTTTAGATTATACACCTGTTTAGATTATACACCTGTTTAGATTATACACCGGTTTAGATTATACACCTGTTTAGATTATACACCTGTTAAGAATATACAACTGTTTAGATTATACACCTGTTTAACACGATTATACACCTGTTTAGATTATACACCTGTTTAGATTATACACCTGTTTAGATTATACACCTGTTTAGAATATACACCTGTTTAGATTATACACCTGTTTAACACGATTATACACTGTTTAGATGATACACCTGTTTAGATGATACACCTGTTTAGATTATACACCTGTTTAGATTACACACCTGTTTAGATTATACACCTGTTTAACATGATTATACACCTGTTTAGACTATACACCTGTTTAGATGATACACCTGTTTAGGTTACACAGCTATTTAGATTATACACCTGTTTAACACGATTATACACCTGTTTAGATTATACACCTGTTTAGATTATACACCTGTTTAGATTATACACCTGTTTAGATGATACACCTGTTTAGATTATACACCTGTTTAGATTATACACCTGTTTAGATGATACACCTGTTTATATTATACACCTGTTTATATTATACACCTGTTTAGATTATACACCTGTTTAGAATATACACCTGTTTAGATTATACACCTGTTTAACACGATTATACACCTGTTGAGATTATACACCTGTTTAGATTATACACCTGTTTAGATGATACACCTGTTTAGATTATACACCTGTTTAGATCACACACCTGTTTAGATTATACACCTGTTTAACACGATTATACACTGTTTAGATGATACACCTGTTTAGATGATACACCTGTTTAGATTATACACCTGTTTAGATTACACACCTGTTTAGATTATGCACCTGTTCAACATGATTATACACCTGTTTAGACTATACACCTGTTTAGATGATACACCTGTTTAGATTACACAGCTGTTTAGATTACACACCTGTTTAACACGATTATACACCTGTTTAGATTATACACCTGTTTAGATTATACACCTGTTTAGATTATACACCTGTTTAGATTATACACCTGTTTAACACGATTACACACCTGTTTTAACACGCAGGAGGCCTTATCACACAATATCATCCCTAATGCGGGTGTTGTGGGTTAGATCGCGTTAAAATATATAAATGTGTCGCTAAACCCGCCACCACCCGACACCGCCAGCTAGTAAGGGTTGTCACGTCAACAGAGCGTGCCAATTCGTCACTAGTACAGCACACACCGGTACCAGTTTTACGACGTGCTTATATTTACGCGATTTAACCCAAAACACCTGCATCACGGATTATTTACCTTCTAAAAGCACCTGGGCAGTGTCTCGCACCCCCAGAAAGGGCATCTCGCTCCCCCCAGGGGGTGCGTGCACGCCAGGTTAAGAGCCACCGTTCTACATCGTCTCCACTGCTGGATGAAGCCCATCCCCCCGACCCGTCGCCATCCCCCACGGTGTCACGGTGCGGCCCCTGTGCACGTCTGACGTCACGGTGGCTCCGTCCCCTCGGGAGGGCCCCGGCGCTCTCCGGCCGCGTTCCTCTCCTCGAGCCGCCGCTCCGTCACCGCCCTCGAGCGCCGTCCCCTCGTGAGTCGGCGACGCGACCTGCCCCCAGCCCCACTCGCGTCTCCTCAACACCCCGGGACGATGCCGTGAACCCGCGCGCTCCGTTCTCCATCCCCATGGAACCCTCAGCGTGAATCTCCACGAGCTGCTCCAAGAACCCCTCCTCGGCTTCTCTCCCCGTCTCTTTTCCCTGAATTCTCTGCACGCAAATTTTCAGTTGCCACGATGTCTCTGTCTGTTACCACGATGTCTCTGTCTGTTACCACGATGTCTCTGTCTGTCACCATGATGTCTCTGTTTGTTACCACGATGTCTCTGTCTGTTACCACGATGTCTCTGTCTGTTGCCACGATGTCTCTGTCTGTTACCACGATGTCTCTGTCTGTTACCACGATGTCTCTGTCTGTCACCACGATGTCTCTGTCTGTTACCACGATGTCTCTGTCTGTTACCACGATGTCTCTGTCTGTCGTCACGATGTCTCCGTCTGTTACCACGATGTCTCTATCTGTCACCACGATGTCTCTGTCTGTTGCCACGATGTCTCTGTCTGTTACCACGATGTCTCTGTCTGTCACCACGATGTCTCTGTCTGTTACCACGATGTCTCTGTCTGTCGTCACAATGTCTCCGTCTGTTACCACGATGTCTCTGTCTGTCACCACGTTGTCTCTGTCTGTTGCCACGATGTCTCTGTCTGTTGCCACGATGTCTCTGTCTGTCGTCACGATGTCTCTCCTTGTTACCACGATGTCTCTGTCTGTTGCCACGATGTCTCTGTCTGTTATCACGATGTCTCTGTCTGTTATCACGATGTCTCTGTCTGTTACCACGATGTCTCTGTCTGTTATCACGATGTCTCTGTTACCACGATGTCTCTGTCTGTCGTCACGATGTCTCTGTCTGTCGTCACGATGTCTCTGTCTGTTATCACGATGTCTCTGTCTGTTACCACAATGTCTCTGTCTGTTACCACGATGTCTCTGTCTGTTACCACGGTGTATCTGTCTGTCGTCACGATGTCTCTGTCTGTTACTACGGTGTATCTGTCTGTCGTCACGATGTCTCTGTCTGTTACTACGATGTCTCTGTCTGTTACCACGATGTCTCTGTCTGTTGTCACGATGTCTCTGTCTGTGATCACGATGTCTCTGTCTGTTGTCACGATGTCTCTGTCTGTTACCACGATGTCTCTGTCTGTTGGCACGATGTCTCTGTTAGTTATCACGATGTCTCTGTCTGTTACCACGATGTCTCTGTCTGTTAACACGATGTCTCTGTCTGTTACCACGATGTCTCTGTCTGTTATCACGATGTCTCTGTATGTTGTCACGATGTCTCTGTCTGTCGTCACGATGTCTCTGTCTGTTACCACGATGTCTCTGTCTGTTGTCACGATGTCTCTGTCTGTTACCACGATGTCTCTGTCTGTTACCACGATGTCTCTGTCTGTTGCCACGATGTCTCTGTCTGTTATCACGATGTCTCTGTATGTTGTCACGATGTCTCTGTCTGTCGTCACGATGTCTCTGTCTGTTACCACGATGTCTCTGTCTGTTGTCACGATGTCTCTGTCTGTTACCACGATGTCTCTGTCTGTTACCACGATGTCTCTGTCTGTTGCCACGATGTCTCTGTCTGTTATCACGATGTCTCTGTATGTTGTCACGATGTCTCTGTCTGTCGTCACGATGTTTCTGTCTGTTACCACAATGTCTATGTCTGTTACCACGATGTCTCTGTCTGTTGGCACGATGTCTCTGTCTGTTACCACGATGTCTCTGTTTGTTACCACGATGTCTCTGTATGTTGTCACGATGTCTCTGTCTGTTGGCACGATGTCTCTGTATGTTGTCACAATGTCTCTGTATGTTGTCATGATGTCTCTGTCTCTTACCACGATGTCTCTGTCTGGTACCACGATGTCTCTGTCTGTCGCCACAATGTCTCTGTGTGTTACCACGATGTCTCTGTCTGTCACCACGATGTCTCTGTCTTTCACCACGATGTCTCTGTCTGTTACCACGATGTCTCTGTCTGTTACCACGATGTCTCTGTCTGTTACCACGATGTCTCTGTCTGTCGTCACGATGTCTCTGTCTGTCACCACGATGTCTCTGTCTGTCGTCACGATGTCTCTGTTACCACGATGTCTCTGTCTGTTACCACGATGTCTCTGTCTGTTACCACGATGTCTCTGTCTGTTACCACGATGTCTCTGTCTGTTACCACGATGTCTCTGTTGCCACGATGTCTCTGTCTGAACGGTTTTCCGCAGAGGGTTTCAAGGCGCACCGATTGTAGTCGCTATTCCCTCTCTCTCTCTCGGCGCGTTTGCTTTGTTGCTTTTCATTACCGCATTCAGTTTTCCTAAACACAGCTCCACTCTCTGTTTACTTTGAATGCCGGTCAATAATGGCCACGTGTGTATTCGTTCCTCGGATGCGTGTGTGCGTTTGTTTTTATCAGTCGGTTGTGTCGCAGTTAGCGCTACGCTGTGCTACGATTCCCCCTCACGGCCAACATCAGTGGCGATTAGTTGAACAGTTCCTGGGCCTCACCTAGATCGACACAGCCTCAAATGAGTAGCTGGTGTGATGTGTAAACATCGCCGCTGGGGATACAAAGGCGACCGGGCGTGGTGCTGGCCACCCATCCCCTCGTGTGCCGTTCCGGCCTTCATAGGTGCTCGCTAACAGCACTAGCCCCTACAGTCTGCTAGGACTATTCAGGGGATATTTTTTTAAAATATCTTATCAGTCCTATGTTCGTCCGGGACTTGCCATCAGACCGTGCTGTGTGTAACTTGGTGACCGTGCTGTGTGTAACTTGGTGACCATGCTGTGTGTAACTTGGTGACCGTGCTGTGTGTAACTTGGTGACCATGTTCTGTGTAACTTGGTGACCATGCTGTGTGTAACTTGGTGACAGTGCTGTGTGTAACGTGGTGACCGTGCTGTGTGTAACACGGTGACCGTGCTGTGTGTAACTTGGTGACCGTGCTGTGTGTAACTTGGTGACAGTGCTGTGTGT